GCGGAGATATACAGGGGTTCCTATACCAACCCTAAAATTGATTGGTTGATTATCACGGGTAATCACTGTAGATCAACAAATCAAAGCATGAGTTTTTGTTTACACGATCATTTTTATATATTTTTATATTATATTTTTTTAAAAAAATTAGTTTGTAACCATCTGTGTGAAGTTATTGATGACGATTATAGAAATTCTCGACAACGCTTCGGATGACTTTTCTGAAATTCTTCTGTGTTTAACTAAACAAGAAGTTAAAGAGGCATGTATATTTTCTAATAAGACGTCTTCTGCTTCTTGTGATATTGAGCACTTCTAGGCACACAAAGTAGCTAGCTACTTTGTGATGTAACGCCTACAAGAGTGATTTGGTTGAAAGTGTCCAGAGCGTAGCGAAGAACATTTAATGTTCTGTTCACATGTATGTGCTTCAGATATGCATTAACATATTTCATGCACATGAAGTACAAACTGCTTCTGTACTTCGTGATATTACACTTAAAAGGATAATTATTGTCTAGATTGTTTGTTTTTAAAAGTGAAATTAAGTAGTTTGTGATATTATATAAAAATGAAGATGAAACTTTTTAATAAGAATTATTAATTTTGAAAGAAGAATTAGTTATGCATTTTCTTATAAAGAAACTTATTGCATATTAGTAAAAATATTATACTTAATAAATATTATTATATTATTAATTTTTTTTTTTTTATAATAAGAAAACAAACCTATTTTATAAAATTTACATAGTTTTTTCATATATAATTTGTAAATAGTAGTAATATATGATTTAGTAAAATATATTATAAGCTGATTGTCATTTTTGATACATCATATTTTATAAAATAAATTAAAAAACTTATTAATAATATTAAATTTAATAACTGTTATTTTAAACTATACTTTTAGGATTATATATACTAAATATTAAGGTTTAAAAATAAATTTATTATATTTTAATTAAATATTTTTCTTATCAATTTATAAATTTATAAAAAATATTTAAATTATATAGTTTTTAATTTATAACTTTTTTTTTATTATACAAATTATATTTTGTCTATTAAGTAAAAATATTTTTTATATTATTTTATATATAAGATAAAATTTTTTTAAAATTTAAAAAAATTTTTATTAGAATAATTTATAAATA